GGGGACCCAGCCACAGCTCGAGGTGGGACAGCAGACCAAGCCTGGCATCTAGACTTCTAAGTGATGCTGAAACTCTTCTCTTGCATCAGGTGTCCCCGCCAAGCTGCCCTCCCACCCGTCCACGTTTCTTGCATTTTTCTTACTGAGTCGAGAGTATGTCACATACATCTCACGACCAAAAATTCCCTCTCCAACACCTTATCATCCTTAATTATAAAACAAACTTTTTTTTTTTAACAGAAAATGGTACTCTGTCCTTAGGGTCCCTCTGACATTAAGAACAACTTAGGTAGCATTTATACCTGATGTTATTGGGAAAAAATTAGCAAATCACTCTCAGTACTTAATTGTGATATTAAAATAAAAACCCCTGCCTGTGGAAGGAGTGGAAATAACAATGTGTGGCACCTATACGCTCGCGAGGCAGGTCTCACTAAAAATCAGCATATGAAACACGACAGCGAGCACTACCCTTGGGGGGCCTGGGGGAGCCCACTTCGACTCTGTGATTCTGGGCTTCAGGGGCTGACTGGGAGGGAATAAGCCACGCTTCACAAACCAGTCCTGGGAAGCCCCCGGGGCGGTGATCATCGGGAGGGCGAGCAGGCACCCTGAGGCTAACTGGTCCAACTGGCCTCCAGACCACTGGGCCCACGGTGTGCCCACCACTCTTCATACAGCACCCTGCATTCTGTTCTCAGAGTGTGCCCAAATATAAGCGGCCGATCACTACTCTTTCTTGAACTGATCAGAGGTCCAAACAGCCGTCAGCACTGGAGGCTTTGGTTAAGAAAGCCTGTGCGTCAGGGTCTGCAGTCTGACTCGGTAAGAGGAGTCTGGGTGCGATTTCCCACTCCGGGCTTCACTAACTCACTCATCACTTCTTCACTGACAATTCTGACCAGTGTTTACATGTTAGGTGCTATTTTAGGGATTCAAAATAATATGGTAAATTCCTAGCGCATGGGGGGATGCAGCCTCTTCCAACAGGGGGTGCTGTGCCCTGTGTTTCACTGGCACGGTACCTGCACGGTCCAGAGCCTGGGCTCTGGGGACACACTGCCCTGCCTGCCCCTTTTAAAATGCATGACCTCGGGAAGTTACATGACCTCTGGACTTTGGTATCTGTGGTGTTAGTAATCTGGGATACAGTATCTGCAAAAGAGGGAAGATGTAAGGATCAAAAGAGCAGATGCTCTTACAGCACTTGGGCCTGGCTCACAGACAGTATACAAGAAACGTCATCAAGATGATGATGCGAAGAACGCTGGGTGCCGAGGAAGACCTGACTGTTCTGCCTTCCTTTTTCGTTTTAGTTTTGAAGGAGATAAGGACACAGCTTCCATTAGTACATTTAAATGGCAAACTTCATAGGCCATTCCATGCATTTCCATCTTAGCTTTTTTTTTTTTTTTTTTTTATCCTCACTGGAGGACATTTTTCCATTTTTTGTTCAGATAGAGTGGGAGGGAGAGAGAGAGAGAGACAGAGACATTCAGACAGAGACATCGCCGTGAAAGGGACACATCGAGTGGCTGCCACCGGCACGACCCAACCAAGGCCGGGGACAAACTGCAACCAAGGTACATGCCCTTAGCGGGAACCGAAGCCGGGTCTCTCTGGACCGCAGGCTGATGCTCTAACTGCTGAGCCAAACCGGCCAGGGCCATCTTAGCTCTTTACAAGACCCAGAAAATAAAAATGATGTGATTGATGAACAAGAGAAGTAGAGAAAAGGCAGCAGAGCAAAACGTAAGGATAGAATCAGTTACAGATGTCCAGCCCCAATGGCTTATCTGTGCACCTGAACCGGGTGTTGACAATAACGTGGTAAGACTTAATCACGAGAGGACTTAAGTGCCAATTTAAAAAGCACTTAGGTACTTGTGAATCGAGTTAGCTGTCAAGTAGCAGCCTAGTCTTTAAGGGCCCCCAGGCTCCGTCCCCAGTGCTCCAGGAGTAACCGCGCACATCATGTTGTCATTTGGAAGGTATGCATCTTTAATAACAACAGCAGCACAACAAGGTTCTTCCTCCCTGCAGGTCCTCACATGCCATATTTGGTAATGCAGTAATTTATTTAGGAAAAAAATCTAAAACCACAGTGCTTGTGTGGGGTCCTTTCATATAATTTCAGGCTCTGACTATGCACCTTGGGATTGTAGCTAATAGGGTAAGGGCCAAAGTCTGTTATGCAATTGTGCACAGAGGAATTTACTGTGTGGATAAACTGCATGAATACCAGTGTTACTGTTTTTCTCCAGATAATGCTGGTTGATTGTTTATTACACATTAACCTTGCTTTTATCTTATTTCATCAAAACTTTTTCATATTCTGCAATCACTTGAAATTCTATTTAAATATGCTGAGAAAAACATTTTCAAATAGTCCTAGAGGCTTTATTGGATCCTATCAACTAAGTAATACAATTCATTCACCTGTTATTATTTTGTAAGTATCTTATTATTGATGATAAATAACCAGGGAGCATTATCTTAAGCTGTGCACTGTTTTTTGACCCCACACCAAAAGAATCTTTCAGTCTTCCTATTACATCTTAAAATGAGAGGGTTACTGGAGAACAAACACAAGCTTATAGGAAACTCACTGCTTAACTAAGTTAAAAACAAAAATAAGAAACACAAGACGAATTAATTCTCTGAGAACTAGACAATGGACTCTTCCGAAAGGTTTGATGAAGAGCATGAAGGAGACAGAAGAGAACCAGGACCAGAAGAACCTTCCAGCTTGGGATAAAGATGCTGTGTTCTGGCAAGTGGGGCCTGAATCTGAGGCTTGGGAAGCAAATCCAGGATGTGTTCCAAAGGCCTGCCCCTGCGGCCCCAGGTGGGACCAGGGGTCAAGTGGGAGATCACATCAGAGACTCCTGGGGCAGCTGCAAATGATTTCCTCCCCATGACCATATTCCTCTCTCTCCCAACACAGGGCCAAACACAGAGGAAGAGAAAGTAACAAGGAAACTAGAAATCAGGGCAGGAGTAAACGTTGGTGACATTCGGGAGCAGGGGCAGCAGACGAAACGTAGCTGAATCCGACCGACTTCAGTTTATCGCAGCTCAGCGACATCACAGCAAGTGATCTTGGAGGACATGATCGCACGTCCATTTCACCTCCCAAAGACTGGTGAGGCCTGCTGCAAGGTGCTTCCTGAGGCTTCACTGGAGTCAGGGGCACATAAAGCGCTCACCCCGCCCAATCTGAATGTGGACACTGTCTCCTGGTTTCAATGAAAACAGCCTAACGTTATCGGTGAAGTTAACGAGGAATCGTCCCTTACTCCTCCCAGTGTCCAACGGTGCAGGTGGATTACGAGAGGTTCTCAGTAAGGTTTTTGGAAGGAACGGCTCACCAGAGCTGCCATTCTTTTCTCAACTGGCGGAAGGGTAGACGACAACCTCATGCGTGCATTGCAGACAGCAAACTCGAGTGATCAAACTGGCATGCACGCCCTATGCCAAGCAACAGATGCAATACACTCATCTCACACGTATTTAATTCTGCTCACCAACTGCTCTCTTCTACTCACAACAAATACACTTGATGACAAAAACGAGTGCAAAAGGGTGGTCTTCCCTCCACTGACCTTCAGAAAGCGCCCACTTACTCATTTTACAAGCTTTCTTAGTTTTACTTTCCATTTACGATTCAAGATTCGTGCCATTAAAGGGTTAGTGCGTACCGGATGACATATTTCTGCTTTTAATTTTTCTTACATTATCACGCATAGGCACGGACTTAAACATTTCGAGTTGACAACAGACTGTCCCTCATCCTTAGGCACAGAGAGTCCCTCCTTTATCTGTTCGGACAAGGCACCCTTCCTGGTAAAGCCCGGGGTACAGCAGACACACGTATTTCTGTGCACTTTTCCCAGGGCCGAAACGCTGCCGCTGGGGAATGGCGGGGGCGTACCCGTGAGGGAGGGGGACCGCCACAAAGCTGGTCGTCTGGCAGCTGTGCTCGGAGCAGGGCAGTGGCGAGGGACCTGGTGATGTCACCAGAGCCGGAGTCCTCCAGTTTACATCTTTATATGATGTGTAAGGTCTTTGATAATTCTAACCCCTCTGAGGGTAATGAGGTGAGTCAGGCAAACTTTGAAGTCTGAGTTGATGAAGATTTAGGTGGAAGCAAAAGACTTCTTGATAGAGGACTTAAGTCTACTGAATGCATGTCTGAAAAGAGCTGCTGGTTCCTTAACAGCTGGTGGTAAGAATTCTAGAAGGATCCATCTTCCACACAGATTAATTTGTGACCCACTTTAGTTCACTTCACTATGCAAATGTGCTTCTTAATGACAAATACTCTCTAATGGATCCGTCAGCCTCAGTTCACTCTCTTTCCTATAGTAACAGACAGGGACAGAGGATTAAGACTGATGTAAGTGCGTGTGCAGAGATCTTCCCAGGACGAGGGAGACGGGCTGAAACAGGGGTTGGGACTAAGTCTAGTCCAGGACACTCAGGCTCCTGTCCCCTCAGCAGGATGACAGGCAGTGAATACAGGAACCGAGACCCACGCAGCAGCCTGAGGGACTGCAACGCCACAGCCATCATGCGGTCAGAAGCAGAGTGCTCAGAGGGTCGCAGTGTGAAAACCGCTTCTGAAGGGTCCAGGTTCTTTTTCTGGCTGCCGGGACCCATGAAGTCCTGGACGCGTCACAAGTGAACGGGCGATGCTGCCGTCATGGGTCTTTCCCCCCATTTTACGTCACTGCATCGACCTCTGGATGTCAGACTCGAAGGGAACTGAATTAAAATGTATATATTCTTACAAACTGTTCGGATAAGCACATCTGCACTGGTAAAATAAAGACCCCATGACTCTGCAACATTTGCCCCAAACGATAAATTTAACTGCAACTGGTAATAGCATGAAGCAGGCATTATGCCCAAGGAAATAAACAAACAAGAACATACTGGCAGAAGCTTGTCCGACACAAGACCTTCGCGGGGGACTCATCAGAACGGACAAGGTTTACCTTCGCACACCGGGCAGCACTCGCCAGGCACCTTGACGGGGTTCATGCAGCTCTGCCCGCAGACCGTGGCCACGCAGTGGGACTCGCCGTTGATGCACTGGCAGAACGTGCAGTCGTCCTCCCGCCACCGGTCTCCGTGGGCGCGGATCTGACCATTGGCATAGCAGCCGGCGGGATTATTAAAGGGATACACCGGATCTAAATTAAAACGAGAGTTCACAGTAAGATGAAAGGCATCCTGCGTCTTTTCTCGGCCTGTACCTAGAGATGGTTTTCCCAGGCTCTGGTGATCAGCAGCTCTTTCCCAGCTCAGGGTTGCATGAGGTGTCTCCTGGGGGCCCTGTAAAAGCCGCTGTCATACTGAATTTCTGTCTGTCCATCATGACACAGGACGGGGGACATTTGGCGTTAAAACCAATAGGCGGGCGTCATCACTTCATGAAGTTGCACAACTCTGGGCACAGAGCTGGGGGTTGGTAATTGGAAAACTCAGATGCACTTTAGGCTCTGACAATGTCTTCTGAGCTGTCCATTTACACGTTTACCACGCCTCAGTTTCACTGCCTGTGGAATGGAAAGAATAATGCCCCCATCTAACTTAGAGGATACCGTTATTCTAGCACGAACAGAACTCTATCTCCTGGTGCCTGGGGGTGCATGTGGACGACAGTGAAGAGAAGGCAGGTTCTCTCTGAGGCCTTGTTCACAACAAGGCTGGTGTGGACATACCGTGGGTCACTGCTCGTGCCCTGGAGGGAAACCTGTGAACCTCGAGACATGGCCCTGTGTGCTGGGCAGCCAAGCAGCAGCTGGGGTAGGACAGAAGCAGCTGTGGCTAGTGTAAAGTAAACTGTTTCCTGAGAGTAGTAGTATTATTTTTTTAATCCTCACCCAAAGATATTTTTACATTTATCTTCAGACAGAGTGGGGGTGGGGGGCGGGGAAGAGAGAGAGAGAAACATCGATGTGAAAGGGACATATTGATTGGTTGCCACCCGTACGACCCCAACCGGGGCTGGGGACGAACCGCAACCAAGGTATGTGCCCTTGGCCAGAATCAAACCCAGGACTTCCTGGTCCGCAGGGCGACGCTCTGACCGCTGAGCCAAACTGGCCAGAGCTGTTTTCTGGGATTACTGACCAGGACGTAAATGCTGCACATAAGGCCCCCAAATATCACTATAATGAGAGCAACCAGAGAACTTGCTCCATTTTCTTCTTCAGAAACACACACAACCTGGTCTCCACAAGCAAGTGCTGCTGCGCTGGGAGCGGTCCACACGGGCGTGAGCTCGGTCTTCTCTACTCTAAGCAGGCGGTGGGCGTTAGAGCAAAGAGGCAGGAGTTTACAATCAGGCAGCCACCGCTCCAGAAAGGCAGTCTGCCGGAGGTGGAGCGGCCGAGAGATCTGAGTTAGATACGACTTGATACATTTCTTTACAGAAAACGTGACATTTCTACTTTGAGCCTGGGTCTGAATTCCAGGAAGCGAGACATAGACAGGCACGTGCCCAGACAACTCATTATGGTTATCACACAGAGGTTCCTATCTACGTTTTCACACCACCAATGGCCATGCAGTTTGAGAGACTACGACCAACTGGGGGCAGCCAGGGGACAAATCAATGGAGAGAGTTCAAAGCTGGATGTGATCTTTAAAAATCCCAATGACACCTAAAAAGGGAACCACCTTTCTCCCCTAAAATAACTTTCGGTAGGAGAAAGGACTTCACTGCTGTGAACCACTGTTCCATGTCAGGAACAGTTTGTATACTTTACACACTGTCAGGTCTTCCATATGATGTGCTGAGTCCAGCTCAAACACCAAGAAGGTCGTGCGGAAAGCGGAGGGAAGGATGGCGCCGGTGCGGCACTGTCCTCCCGCGTCCCCGTCGGGGAAACTGTTGTGTCTAAAGACCAGACACAGTCGGGCTCGCTGTTCCCGGCTTCCCCGCAAACTCAGACCAGGGACTCCTTTCTGCTCGTCGGCATCCTCGCCCCGCGGGATTCAGAATGACCATTCTGAAATGTTTATTATTTCTGAATCCCACGCGGGAGGGCGGAGCCTGCTGGAGGAACATGGAACTACTACCTCGGGGAGAGAGGAAGGGAACAAAGCGGAGGGCTCCTGAGAGCCTCTGTCCGGGGCCACCACACCTGATACTTGGTTGGGACTGGGGCTGGTGTCAAAACCATGTCAAAATCACCCCTCACCTCCACAAAGGAGGGGCAGCAGCAGGGTCCTGGCCCCGCCTGCAGGGTGTGGGTGAAGGACAGCACACAGGGTGAGCTCCTCTCAGCCGACGGGCGAGACCGTCAGCGACAGGGCTGTCCTGTCCTAGCTGAGCAGTCACGGAGGGCAGGATGTGAATTCCAGTGTCATGGTGAGCAGAACGTCCCTGGGACTTGCTGAGGACGTGCTGGGACTGCAGGGGAGGGACAGCAAGCGTTTCCAGGACCGCACGCTGGCCTGGGAGACCTGCCGCCTACACCCAGGGCAGCATCTCGCTGTCGCGCGGCATGGACAGAGCCCTGAAAGACGGACCCGTCATAAAAAGGGACTGCCTTCAATAATCCTCTCCTTCGGGTGAGACGGATTAGGTCAGTTTTGATACTAAAACTCTGAGCCATGAATACTCTTACTAACCCCTCATGAGCCCACTTCTCACCTTCGCACACGGGGCAGCACTCCCCTTCGGGCACGTAGTACCTCTCGCAGTTCAGCTCGCCGCACTGGGCAGTGAAGCAGATGGCCACGCCCCCTTGGCATCGGCAGAACCGACACTTGTCCAGTCGGAACATGTCTCCGTCGTTGTACTCCACATTGTTGAACATGCAGGCTGGCTTGGTTTCTGAAAGGGGTTCAAACAGACGAGGCACATTCAAAGTCACTTCTGAGTGGTGTCCTCTGGCATTTTTCAGACAGCCCCTAGAAAACTGTCTCTTATCAAGGGGTTATAATTTGATGAAAATGTACTAAACAAGACACAACTTTCTGTAACAGCGAGAAAGCAATTTAAAGTAAAATAAACAAAACACGGTTAGCCTCTTTGCCCAAGGAATCGAAATTCCCCTTAGCAAAATCTACACAAACTGCCCCCCCCAAATAAAGGGGGCCATGTGACCAGGACCTCACATTACTAATCTGGGCTTTAAGGAGACTACATTTGTTTTGTGAAACCATTCTCTGCCTCAAATAAATGGTCTTGTCTTCACATTGCTTTTTTAAAATCCTCACCCGAGGACATTTTTGCATTTAGAGCAGGAAGGAGAGTGAGGAAACGAGAGAAACATCGACGTGAAAGGGACACATCGAGTGGTTGCCACCCACACGACCCAACCAGGGCCGGGGACAAACTGCAACCGAGGTACGTGCCCTTAGCAGGAACCGAACCCGGGTCTCTCCGGTCTGCGGGCTGACGCTCTAAACGCTGAGCCAAACCGGCCAGGGCTTCACATTAGGTTTTGTTCTGCCTCGAAAAACTTCATCTAGGCCTTTTCAGAGAAGATATTCTTCTCTTCCTTCCATGTATTCTTCCTCCCTATATTCTTCTTTCTCGCTATGCGGTTTAATAACTTGTCATTTTAATCACATTTTGCCTTAAAAGCCGGACGTGGATATTATTATCCCAAGTTTAGAAGTGAGGAGATCCTAGGTGATTTGCTGAAGTCACCCATTTAGCAAATGGCAGAAGCAAAACCAGCTCTTCAACAGAAACCTTGCGGGACTTTCCAGCGTGTTTCAAGGCTGTGTTCTGCTAAGGACTCCAAGTCCTGTCCTCAGAATTCTGCTCACCATGCCAATGACTTAAAGATTTTTCTCCACCCTGGGAAACTCCCCCTAAATTCATTCCTTATCTTTAATTTTAGTTGACTTAAAAGAACTCCCACCAGGCAAAGACATCACAAGAAAAAGAAAACTCCAGATCCATATTTCTTGTGAATACAGATATAGAAATCCTCAAAAAAATACTAGTGTGAATCCGGAGACATATAAAAAACATTAAGTACCATGACCAACTGGGATTTATTCCAAGAATGCAAAGTTGGTTTAACATCCAAAAATCAATGAATGTAATATAGCATGTCAATAAAAGACAAACACACACACACACTCAACTCAATGACACGGAAAAATCATTTGACAGAAGCATATACCTTTTCATAACAAAAACATTCAATAAATTAGGACTAGAAGGGATCATCCTCAACTTGGTAAACAGTGTCTATGAGAAACTCGCAGTTAAAGTCACATTCAGGAGTGAAAGACGGAATGCGTTCCCCCTAAGATTGGGAGTAAGACAGTATGTCCACTCTCACCACGACGACTCAGCATTGTATTAGAGGTTCTAGCTAAGGCTATTAGGGAAGAAAAGAAAAAGTATCCAGATTGGAAAGGAAGATTTAAAACTACCTTTGGTAGCAAATGACAAGATCTTATATATTAAAAAAAAAAAAATCGAATCCATTAAAACACTATCAAACTAATTAAGAAGTTCAATAAAATTTCAGGGTAAAATTGCAGCTCAAATAAATTGTGTATCTATATGCTAGCAATGAACAATCTGACAATGATGTTAAAAAACAATCCCATTTACAACAACATCAAAAAGAATAAAATATCTAGTAACAGATTTAATAAGTGAAGCACAGAACTTGTAGTCTGAAAACTACAAGACTGTGTTTAAGGAAATGAAAGAAGGCCTAAATAAATAGAAAGACATCCCATGTTCACGAATTGGAAGATAATACTGTAAAGATAAAAATATTCCTGAAATTGATCTACACATTCAATGCAATCCCTATCAGAACACTAGCTACTGCTTTTGTAGAAATTACAAGTCAATTCCAAAATTCATATGAAAATGCAAGGGACCCAGAATCGTCAAAACAATATTGAAAAGAAGAACCGAGTTGGAGGACTCTGACTTCCTGATTTCAAGACCTACCAAAATGCTACAGTAATTATGATAGTGTGGTACTGGCATGGGAACAGATACACAGTGCAACGGACTTGAGTTTAGAAATAAACTCTTACATTTATCGACTTTTGATAGGGTGCCAAGACAATTCATTGAGGGAAGGAATTGTCTTATCAACAAATGGTGCGGGAAAACAGATATCCACTTGGGAAGAAAAGTGAGAATGAACCTCTGTGTGTCATATCATATAAAAAAATGAACTCAAGATGAATCACAGAGCTATGATCTCATTGTTACAGCCACAACTACAGAGCTTTTAGATTAGAACAAAACAGGAGTAAATATCTTTGTGACTTTAGGCAATGGTCTCCTAGATATGACACCAAAAACACAAGCAACAAAAGTGAAAAAGAATTCAACTGGATTCCATCAACTCTTATGCTTCAAAGAACACCACTGAGAAAAGTATAAAGGTAACCCAGAATGGAAGAAAATATCTGCAAATCATACAAAGGCGTTGTATCCAGAATACATAAAGTACTCTTGTAACTCAACAATAAAAAATAATCCAAACTGAAAAATGAACAAACATTTGAATAGACCCTGTTCCAAGTAAGACACAGAAAAGGCCAATAATCATATGAAAAGATGCTTAGCGTCTTTAGTTTTTAGGAAATACAAATCAAAGTCATAGTGAGACACCACTTCCTGTGCGCAGATGGCTATAATGAAGAAGATACAGACAATGACAAGTACTGATGAGGATGTGCAAAAACTGGATTCATGTGAAGGTATAGCTGTTCTCAGAAACAGCTTGACAGTTCCTCAAAATGTTAGACACAGAGTTACCATATAACCCAGCAACTCCAAGAGAAATGAAAATATACAGCAACATAAAAACGTGTATACTAATGTTCATAGCAGCATTGGTCACAAGAGCCAAAAAAGGGAAACCACCACAATGCTCCAGGTCCAGCATCTGATGCATGGATAAACAAAATGTGGTATCTCCATACAATGCAATATTTCTTGGCTACAGAAAAGAATGCAGTTCTGATACATGCTATTAACACAAATGAACCTTGAGCATTAAGTCAAAGACGCAGGTCACAAAAGAACTACTGTATAATTCTATTTATATTAAATGCCCACAACAGGCACATCTGCAGAGACAGAAAAACAGATTACTGGTTGCCCAGGGCTGGGGGCTTTGGGAGGAAATGGGAAGGGACTACTACCGAGTTCCAGAGCACTGGGCGGGCTTACGAAAGTGTTTTAAAATTGACTGTGATGTTTTACAATTGACACAACTGTGAATATATTAAAAACAAAACAATGAATTGTACAACTTCACTTAATAAATTGCATAGTATGTGTTTCAATAAATCTAATACAATCAAAACACTCTCAAGCTGAAGAAAGTTCTCCTGAGCTAACCCACTCTATTTTTTAATCAATCAATTAATTAATTTCCTCACCTGAGGACATTTTTGCATTTATCTTCAGATAGAGTGGGAGAAAGAGGAAGAGAAAGAAACATCAATATGAGAGAGACACATCGAGTGGTTGCCACCCACACGACCCCAACCGGGGCCAGAGACAAACTGCAACCGAAGTACTGCCCTTAGTGGGAACGGAACCCGGAACTCTCTGGTCCTGGGGCCGACACTCTCACTGCTGAGCCAAACCGGCCAGGGCACCCACTCTATTGAATAAGGTGAGGAAAACTGGATTGTGATACACGTATCTCCCACGGACTCCTCTGTCCAACATCATTTCTTAGTATGTCACCTTACATGTTCAAAACAGACTCTCACTGCATTTTAATCTGAGCATATTTACATTTGTATTGTACTTAAGGACAATGACTTTCTCATTGGGTTTTGTAACAATCCTATAGGGAAGACAGAACAAGTATTAATGTCCATTTCTTCAAAGAGGAAAATGAAATTTAAAGAGACTTGGTGACTTGCCTAAAGCCACATAACCAGCCACAGCCAAGCTGCGAGTTATGCTGACAGGTTATAAATATGTTTGAATTTCTACCCCAGTGCATGGTGGATGTACTATTCCTCCCCCCACCCCCACCCCAGAAAATCAATGTTAGGTTAAAAGAAATCATCTCCTAGCTCAGAATCTATCTATATACATGTAGCCATGCAATCTGAGCAGAAATGGGAAGGATCTGGGAAGTCAGACCACAAGTTCCAAAATACAGAAAATGAGGTGCTTCTCCAAATCAGACCTACGTGCTGGGCACTGAGGCAAAAGACTGTACTCTCACAAGGCTGAGAATCCATTCAAATGGGAAGAAAAAACTTTTAAATAAACCAATCACTATCAATTACTTAGTTAATCAACCACATCTATCTCTGGGTGAAGCCACAAGTCTGGGTGCAAGACTTGAAGCCAGGAGGGAAGATTCTGGTGAGGCAGTGGTTCCACTGAACATGTCGTGAGGGAGGGGTGTGCTGACGCTACAGCGGGAGGGGAGGACGGGGTCGGGTCCGAGGCCGTCAGGTCTCACGACGTAATGCCAGAGAGCAAGGGCGTGGAATTTAAGGGGATGGACGGCCCAAAACACATGGCCTAGAAAACACAATCAATGCTTTAGGATAAAAAAAGAAAAATCAAACATAATGAAATGCCTGTTTGATGTCGAGAGAAATCTAGAGGCTCTTCAGCAAAATGCATAATGAAAAGGCTGGCAGTGGTCTCTGCGGGGCAACAACCAATCCTTCTTTGCCTGCGGGGGTGGGGGGTGCGCACGTCGGAGCAGCATGGAGCCCATCACAGCGTCCGCAACAGGACAATTTGCACGGCGTCGAAAAGAAAAAATACTGCAAGGAGATAATTTACCAGGTAATTTGTACTTTTTAATGCAGAGATGTATAACAAGTGTCTTTTTGTGTTTTGTGTCTGCCCAATTA